TTGAGATTAGGAGCTCTGCCTCCAATTTTTTCTGAGCAGGATGCTATAAAGTTAAAATCTCCACCCACTAGCCAAGGGGAAGACATAGAATGACCAATGCCTTTTAATTCATTCCACATATCACTTCTAGCAGCCTTGGTGCAACCAACATAGATAATGGTGACAACCCCAGTTTTACCATCAATATCAAAAGTAAAGTGGAAAAATTGGGGATTATTAATGAGGACTTGCCAACTTATCTCAGATCTGCAAAGGATCCAAATCTTATTATTAATTTTAGCAAAGTAGGAAAACCCATATAACTTTTTTAAGATTTTTTGGGGATTTTTGTGGACCATAGGTTCCAAAAGAGCAATGCACCAAAGTTTATACTTTATATTGAGATTGAAGTCTCTTGATGGAAAGTGGGTGGCCACCCTCTAATGTTCCATTAAAGAAAATTAATCATGGTGGGAAGACTTGGCTCTTCCCCTGTGAGTCTGGTGAGGGAGTCCCTTCTGGTTGGTAGAGTAAGAGCTACTAGCTTCAAGTATATAAGTGAACTTGGCTCTCCCCCTGTGAGTCTGGTGAGGGAGTCCCTTCTAGTAGAGTAAGAGCTACTAGCTTCAAGTATATAAGTGTCCCCTTTGGGGTCAATCACTGCCTAAGGGTTCTTCTTTTTCTTCCTAGATTTCTGTAGCTTTCAATCCTCTTCTAACACTTATTGCATAAAATCTAATGGGGGAGGATCCAAAGGGGGGTCAATCACTGCCTGAGGGTTCTTCTTTTTCTTCCTAGATTTCTGTAGTTTTCAATCCTCTTCTAACCCTTATTGCATAAAATCTAATGGGGGAGGATCCAAAGGACTAACAAGAGTGAAACCATTGGAAGTATTATGAACCTCAACACCCCTCTTGGTGGGGAGGGTAGCCAATTCACCCACAGCCTCCTCCACAAGGGTAATGTTGTTAGAATCAGGTAGAGTAGGGGATGAGCCCATTGTAAGGCTCAGAGACAGGCTCCTCAATAAGAAGTGAGGTAGCATTATCAACTGGTTCAATTACAGGGAATTGGTTTTCTTGGGGAGAGGCAATAGGCATTTTAGTTCATGGGTGAGGCTTAGAAGTAGGCATCTCAGTAGGAGGTGGGGCTGTAGAAGCAGGTAGTTCAGGAGCAGAAAAATGATTTTTCTTTGGATAAGCAGCAGTCATCTGAGTGGGTTCTTGTTGACAATTTTTCAGCTTGGGGTGGAGCTTAAAGAATCTCTCATTTGTGTGACCAAACATTTTGTAATGGTTGCAATAGTAAGGTCTTTATTTAACCACAATTTTCTGCTAATAACCATTATGTGCAATGCCCAACTAGATTTCCTCCACATTAGGTAAAGTGGTGTCTCTTTCAACTAAAATCCATGCAACTGATGATCTGGATAAGTTAAAGGTTCGGACATCTACTTTCATAGGCCTTCCAGTGCAGTCCCAATAGTAAACAGTGCTTGGTCGTTGACGAAGTGGAGTTTAGCCCTGGTAGTTTGAACCAGATAGGCATAATTGGAGGCTCCTGGCTAGGATCAAAGTTAAGAGACCATTTTAAGAATTTCATGGACATACCCTCAATCAACAACATTTGTTTGGAGAAGAGTCTGGCATAATCTTCTTCTCGAGATAAATGAATAAACATGTGTCTACCATCCACAGGGCCCACCTTCAATCACTTAGCAACTTGAAATCTTTAAAGTATTTACGAACAACTTCCATTTTAGGATGTACAAATTGAAATTTGTCTATTAGAGTAAATTTGAAGGCAGCTGATAGAGAGGAGATTTCGGATTCAGAGAAGAAAATAGTTGATTTCTTAGGTTTCCTTCCAAGCTACTTAATAAAAGAACAATCACTTTGGCCTTCTCTCTCATGGAACAATTGAAGGAACGCCATATGCTCCATTGATTTATGAAAATCAGAGCTCTTTCTGACAATATCTTCAAAGGTGGCTTTAGACCATTGGATGTTGGTATCAAAATCTATAGGAATGGGGTGTGCCATTAAGAGAAAGAAGGGTAGAAGAGTTGGGCTAAGTAAAACACCACACCCCTAATAGCAGGGGAGTGTGGCAATGGAACAGTAAAACACAGAAAAATTTAAAAACTCAAAATCCCAGGAAAAAGAAAAGAAGAGAAACCAAGCTTCCAGGGAACCACCCTAGCAACTATTGTCAAAATCCAAAGAAACCAGAGACGAAAGAAGGAATCACCAGCTAAAGGTGAGCAACCGTGAAGCTTCATGCTCACAGAAACCCTAGCAGAGTGTGTGTGTGTGTGTGTGTGTAAATGAGTCAAACATGATGCGGCTCGTTTATATTTCAAGCACAAAAAAGTGTATTTGTGTTCGGCTCATTTGCTTGGTAAGTCGAACACAAGTTGTTCACAAACAAAGAGTCATTTTGACAACCTTAATCACATAGCCATAATATATTAAGGGTTGGGATAAGATTTAAAAATTGTTTTTTATATTAAAATATCATTTAAATCTAATTTAATAAGTTTTTATTCTATTTTATTAATTAGTATTTTTAATTGATTATATATCTTTGTAGCCTTATAGTCAATTAGTTTTTATAAAAGTAATACTCATCAATATATATATATATATATATATATATATATATATATATATAGATTTATCTCTAAAGAAGAAAGAAA